CTCTGAGTGCTCTGATTTGCAGCATATGTGCCCTGAAATTATGGTCACAATAAATGTGTGCTGGACATGTTTGCAAAGGCACATTTTTTTCTATTCTGGGCAGTGTCCCTGCCATAGGCTAAACATTGATGGGACATCCATGTCTTTTGTGATGCTGCTCTCCATGCAATAGGGCAGGCATGATGTTTAAAGTTGTGTGTGAGATGAGAAGGAAAGAATAGGCTCAATAATTGTAAGAATTATTGGTTGCTATGCTGCATGATTTTTTAACTTCATAGGTTAGACTAAGGCAGCTAGTTTCCTGAGTGTCCTGACAACCACTTTCAAACTGCCGCCAAATTGATGAAACTGTGCTGTGGGAAATGAGTAAAAAGTAATAGGCTTTACCTGACTTTATACCTTATCTGCCTCCCAGATATAAGCATTGTTGAATGCTTACAAGAAACAGTTTTTGTCAGTTTTAGGTCAGTTAAGTATTACCTGTGGTGTATGCACACACATTTTCAGCAACAGAAAGGCTAGAATTTGATTTTTGTGCACTAACATACCATACCTTACCTCATGGTGATCAGCAATTATAAAAGACCAGTGGGCCTGTCGGTCCTGGTGTTGTCGGCCTCCTGTTCTGGTAACCAAACAGTCAAATTATGGGTAGATTTAGTGTGGGATGTCATACATGATGTCAGCCCAGTGCATATCAAGCCTGCACTTGAACTATTCAACTGAGGTTGACGACACGACCAGGCGTGGAAGAGCGTTCCAATCGTTGACGACCCGCGTGCTGAAGGAGTTACGACGGACGAGAGTCCTACCTCGAGGTTTTCTAATCTTCCATTGGTGTCCTCTCGCCACCTCCGGGTTGTGTCTGGTCAGAAACTCCTCTTCCGGCAGCGACATACCTCCGTGAAACAACTTGTACACGATTGCCATATCTCCCCCTGCGAGGACGGTAATACAGCGAGGGCAACTGGTGGAGTCTGAGCCTCTCAGGGTATGGCCGGTACCCTATTTCATAGACAAGATGGGTAGCTCGTTGCTAAACCTGCTCCATCCACTTCTGGTCTAGTTTGCCGAACGGGCCCCGAATGACCTTGCCATACTCCCAAGTGCGGACGTCGGTAAGTTCTTAAAGAGCAATCGCGACATGTGAGCATCGATGTTGGCAAAAGACCGCCTCACGACCGCCGGCATCTGGGCCTTAAAGATCGCTTCCCCCGTCTGCACGCGGAACTCGAGGCTATTATCCACGAAGATCCCGAGGTCCTTCTCGGTGTACTCGACCGCGATTTCGGCGCCGTCCAAGAAGTATGTCAGCCTCGGGCTACAATTCCCGATATGGATTACTTTCCACTTTGCTGCACTAAAGGGGAGCAGCTACCCCTTTGACCACGCCATTTGACCTTTTGGACATGCCTATTTAAGGTATGTTGAACCTGGGTAACTATTTTACTGTATTCAGTGGCTAGTTAACGCAACATTTTGGGAGCTTTTGGATCGTCTCGTGATAATGAACTGTTACAGAGACTAAGGTAAATAGAAAAAGTGGAATGTATTGTGATATGGATGGCAAAGGATATGGATTAGTATAGAAGGATGAAAGGAAAGGTTTATGGTCATACAATACTAATAAATAGTTCAGGCAATGCCTTCTTTTGTTTGGAAAAAATCTTATAATTCAAAGCATTCTGTGAAGAGTCTATGAAATGCGCAGGAAAAATCCTGTTGCCTGTTTGCAGATGAAAATAAAGGCATGGGAGCATCTAAGAGCTGTCATAAAATGCACGAATCTTTTACAGGATGGGGCACATTTTTGTTTAAGGCAGTGCTTCTGATATCAATAATGACCATTCTGCCTTGCTGGCTAATTACCTGCACCCAGGGGCCAAGGTGATCTGAACAATGAGTACTGTACATACAGTACACCTGAAGATAGTGTTGGGTGCTACTTGTGAAGCTTTTTGTGGTACCAACATGACTTAAAGGCCTGTCAGACAAAATCTGGTTTGAAATGCTTGTGACCTTTTCATCAATCCTTTCTTGCAATTACGTTTGCAGTTCATTTCTGCATCATATTGTGTCATAGGAAGATTGATTGCAATGTCTATCGCAATTTTTTTGCAATCCCGCAGTAATATTGACGCATGTTTTATAAAAAATTAGATTTCCTGTGATGTCAACATGAGATGACAGATTATGGATTGGGGTACTCCGCCACGTTTCGCTGTTGAAATATTTGGATGGGTATTTTTAGATAACCCATTGACATCTTCATTGTTTTGATTTGCGTTTCCACTTGCCGTAATGACTACCCGTCTGTCATCGCGTTGGTATGGCAGTTTGCACGCCGCTCCGTCTCGCGGCGAGACGCGAGAGGCAGTGGGTTCTGGCGTGGTGTGTCACGGATCGCACGCCGCTCCGTCTCGCGACGAGACGCGAGGGCAGTGGGTTCTGGCGTGGTGTGTCACGGATCGCACGCCGCTCCGTCTCGCGACGAGACGCGAGGGCAGTGGGTTCTGGCGTGGTGTGTCGCGGATCGCACGCCGCTCCGTCTCGCGGCGAGACGCGAGGGCAGTGGGTTCTGGCGTGATGTGTCACGGATCGCACGCCGCCCCGTCTCGCGGCGAGACGCGAACGCAGTGGGTTCTGGCGTGGTGTGTCACGGATGTCGTGTGATCACCCGAATCTCAGAGTCGAGTCGACCGGTCGGCTCCTGACTGATGTGGAACGAGGTGGGTCTGCGGCGCCGGATCGTGGTTCAAGCTTCTTTCTAGTTTGTTTTTTAAAAATAAATTTGATCCGAACCCTTTGAATGGATGAATTTCTGGGATCAGCGCTCACGCTAAGCAGTGCTTGTTGTGTGAGCCCTGAACCCCACCATCCGATCGCGCAATTACAGGCAACGGCAGAATTTAGTGGCGAAAGCTTAACGTGCCGCAATGCTCGGCACGGTCCGTCCTGCCCTCTGACGTCAACTGGCCTTTAGTGCGGCCGCTGCCACCGGCCGCAGGCCATAGCTGTCAAGGACAAATGGCGAGCGCCTAAAGCGACTCGAACCTACCCCGCCACGGGTGGGTGAATAGGGAGGCAGGCGCTCTAACCAACTGAGCCACCGGGACGGACAGTAACCGAAAGGAACAAAAATTTCACAAGGGTGGTGTCAGGAAGTGTGAAAAAAGGTAGCACAGACACGATGCTTGGCTTGTCCCACTCCATTGTTACGATCCCATTGTACCCCGCAGTTTCTGTGTCAAATAAGTGAAACTCATGGGCCTGTTCTTGCATATGTTTACGACGGAGAAAGTTCGATAGCATAGCAATAATTATTTCAGAGTATCCTGCATTTGCCTCTAAAATGCAAAATAATTTTCAATGAAAGCATGATTACTGGACCCACTTAAATTCCTTACTATTCTGGTGAAGATTAGCATGGAAGAAAGCCTGCCACTTATACCCGAATTTTTACCATTTTCGTGCGCTAAGCCCAACTATCATATCATCGCCTTTCGATACCTGGATACTTTCCTATCATCATGATATGATTCGTTTGTTTCACCAAGCGTCAAGTGAACACATCACCACGGGCGAATCAGGTGTTCTGCCTTTAAGTATGCAGTTTGTTTCACATTAGCTACCGGCTTACGAATATGCACATAATTTTGTAATTTCTCCCCAACACTTTCTGAAGCCGCCATTCTCAGTATCAGGGGTCTGAATCTTAAGGTACATTTGTTATAACGGTGGTGAGAAAAGTCTGAAAGTTTGAACTCTGTATCACTCACGGTTCGAAAATCACCGCTCAAAACCCCGAGGGGAGCCTGCGGACAGCCCCCCCCCCCCCCCACAGGGGTAGGATTGAACATTTCAATCCCTCTAGCATGAAGCAGGCCAGACCTGGCGATTTCTGGGTCCGCTGGCCACCGTTGGTGCTGCTCAGGGCCCCTCGATTGAGACCTGTTAACATGACGCATCATTGTAACCGTCTCGGATGACCTGCACTGCCACGAGGTATGGACTCGTCATGCCACTTGCTGACCATATGACCGCCTTGGGCTCTGCCCTCGATCCCTGTTAGTCGCCGAGACCGATCCCGCCCCGGAAAAACGGCGTTAGAATCCTGCAACGGTCATACAACACTGGAATACTGGTGTCAGGAGGCAGTGGCATGGCCAGGATTTCGCCCAGGGGTCGAGGATTCGTGTCACTGGCGACCCTTCCAGCCGATGGTGCCCTCTTCGTTGCTTAGGAACCCTTTTTTATTCGAAGGACCTTTTACGCTCATAATCCCGCTTTTTATATTTTAGAAGCCGTAGGGACGTCTTCACTGCTAAAAAGTAGGAGGGTTTCCGGCCACCTCAGGGAGAGGGAAGGGGATTATGGGCCCAAAGCTACTCCCAAGAGCTATTGATTCTACTACACTACGCATGTAGTGCAGTGAAATCGAGCATTGTTTATTTTAGAAGTGCTGTTCAATTAACGGTCTGCGGAATAGTTTCGTAGAAGTGTATATACCTATTTCCTTTCCTACTACGTCAGCAGAGGCTTTCGAATGAGCATATTTGTTTTCACCTGATGACAAAGATGCCGGACCGATCTACCGCCCTTTTCATCAAAGCGATAGACTGACAGCTCTCTGAGATCTCAGATAGGTAAAGGGCTAGATAAAGAAGGACGGAACGGAAATAGTCCTGGCGTGGCTCCCTCGACTTTGACGGAGCGCATTAAAAGGTGGCAGTGACAACGGGCCGCCAGAAGGTCGCGACCCCGCTCACTGCGGCCACGGCGGGGGGGGATGTTATCCTGGAGACGTTCGCACGGCTCCAGAGCCGGCCACCACCGCCGGCCGCGGTGGCGGGCGGCGAGGGGGCGGGGGCGGCGCAGCAGGTGTCGCCGCCGGCGCCGCGTGCGTACAGAGGGCGCTGACGGTGCGCGGCGCAGCCGGCGCCCTGTGGTCGCGCTGAGCTGGCAGCCGGCCCCGGTGTCGCGCCAAATCGGCCGCCAGTGCGTGTGGCGCGCCATGCTCGCCTGCTGGAGGTTCTGGACGCCCGGCTCGCGCGCCGTGGCCAGCGCGCCGGTCGACGACGACGCGCAGCTGAACGGTGTGTAGCGAGCGCCCGGTGACCTTGGCTGGTGCGGCCGGCCGCCCCACAGGTGGGCCGGCTGGCCGCGGTGCTTGACCTGGGGTCAGGTTACCAGCGCCGCCAGCCGGCTCCCGCCCGCTGGGGTGGTTTGTGTCGCATCGCGTGCGGACGAGGCCCGAGTGCTCTGTGTGCGAGAAAGCTTGCCTCTCTAGGGTTCTTCCGTGTGTTGTGACGTTTTTGCGGAGTGCCAGCCGTCAGGTGAGTGAACGCTGACCTTTCCCCTCGTGTTTTGCACGCTCCTCAGCGGCGCAGCCGCCGCCGGCGACCGCATGAACACGTCAGCTGCAGTGGATGGTATCGCAGACTGTTTTGTCTGGCGCCGTCTGCGCCTCCGTGGCTGTGCAGCCTTTGCGATGTACCTTCGGTGTGGTGCGCCGTGGGCCACTTGTGCATGTGGGGCGCACCCCTGCTCGCACTTCAGGCTTTTGCAGCGTGTTTGTTTTGTCTCGGTGCCTGCTGACCTGAGTGTATTTACCTGCACATGGCGCACGCGTTTTCGCCGGTCTGGCATGGTCTACGCCGTCAACAGCGGATTCAAAGGAGTGTGTGGAAGTGGTACCAGAGGTACCCCGAAGGCTGTTGAAAACATTAAATTTACGCTATTGCGCTTGATTTGGTGCTGTCGGTACCAAATCTGAAACTTGCATTGCCCAAACGAACGTTACTTCTCCCAAGATCCTATTCTAGGTCTGTCCCTGCATGCAGTAGGGTAACGGCCCCTTCATCTTCGGACTAATGAAACACTACGCCTGTGGCGTTCCATGTAAAGAACAGCTTAAAAGCTTCAAAGCCACGATGTCCCCACCTTCTTGTCTTCCCCGCTTGACTTCCGGTAGCTGATTGGGAGAAACGGCCTATCAACACATGCTATCGTTCTTAAGATGCATGACTCAGTGGGCATTGCTATGTGTGACATTTCGCACTTCGAAAGGATGATATTTTTGCACTTCTGGTCGTACGTACCATCCGGGTCATGGTACGTGCTATCTTCCTGGTCAAGTGAGGAAGGAAAAGATAGTGCCCTGCCTATCCCCGACATATTTTCCTTCTAAGATTTCGCCGTAGTCGTCTGCATCGTGCTACATCTTATGTTCCTTCTGTGCTAATTGAGACCTGTGACAGCCACACGGATGTGCTGCTACCTCTGTCTTTTCGAGCCCACATAATCGCCGTTTGCTCTGCCGTTTCACCATTAGCACCTGTAGTTTGTATGCGCCAGCACTTTCACCCGGCTGTCCGCCGTTGTAGCTTGTGCGCATGCCCGGGCCGGCGTGGTCTCGTGGGCGGCCGCGTGACGCCCGCCTGCCTGTCGGTTGCAGGCGAGGAGCGCCTCTGCGCCCCCCTGGCGGACCTGCCGTGGACCGACGACGCAGGTATTGTGTCAGCTGCTCGCTGTCGGCGCCGGTGGCGACGCTCCAAGCCAAACAGCCGGCGGCGGCCGGCGCGGCCGCGGCACGCTCGCCGCACCCCGCGCCGCTCACGCTACTCGCGCTCGGCCTCTACCGCTTCCAACGCTTGCTTGTCGCTGCTGGAACGATGTCAGGCGCACGGCGGCGGCGCCCGCTGGGCAGCCCTGACCTCTGACCTCAGTTCGGGGGCCGGCCCGGAGTGGCGCCCGGCGAGCCGGCCGGTCCGGGGGCGGCGGCGGCGTGCCGACACGACCCGGCTGACGCCGCCGGACACCCCGCGGTGCCGGTCAGCAGTAAGATCGGGCCGACGGAGAAACCGTCACGACGCCGCCGGCCGTGGGAGAGCGGCCGCGCCCGGCGGTCGCCGCATCACGCGCGACAGGCCCGCCGGCCGGGCCGCCGCCGCAGCTTCTCGGATGGGCAAGAAGGGTTGCATGGGTATTGGGAGCGCGGGCGGAGCCGCTGCGGGGAAGTCGGACCGGCCGTGGAATTTCCGTGAGGGATGGGACCGTTAGAAGAGCTTCCGCACGATGTCGAGACAGTCTAAAAAAGGGTAGACTTTGGAGCAGTCGAAACAGCTTCCGTATGTCGTCGGCTCTTTCTTCAGCTGTTTTTTTATACGTTCACGTCCAGGCGGATTATCTTGGAACCATCTTGAATTGGAATGGCCTAGGACTCGCCTCTTGAACCAGATTTTTAGGCTGTCAGAATTCTCCCAGCCTGGCCGACTAAAAGTGCCCTCCTGTTTTGTCCTTCCACTAGTCTTAGCATTGAAAAGAATGTACGATATTTATATGGGGTTTTGAACTGAACTAGCTACCTTGAAGACCTTTCGGTGCTGCTCACATTCCCGTCCTTTCTAAGACCTAAGCCCCTCTAATTTCTGAGCCATACGCCCGCGAAAATGGGAGGGTATTTAGAGAATTGTATTTCAAAGTCACCTCGGCATTTATACCGTCATAATAAGCTCAGTCAAGTTCCACCACTCCATAAGCCATGCGACGATCGAGACCAAAGAAAATATAATTGTCGAGGCGTTCATATCTAGCATTCGTGAGCGCGATTTCCAGATATAACGGCTGTCAGTTGGCCATCAGTCAATGTTGTGCAAGGCACGATGACGTAATCAGATCATGATATATTTAAGAGCATATTTACTAAACAGATAATTGCGATGGCTAGAGCAGTATTTCTCACTTAAAAAGCATACCGCTAGTTAGAAGCGAGTTTATTTCATCACATCTGATGCCTACTTCATTATTTTCAAATGTAAAACATTCTCTTTCAGAAGAGTACTATATCTTCTTAATGCCTTGACCCGGTGGATAGAGAGGCGTAGATAGGACGGGCGCAGGAGGCCCGTGCTCTCTTTGAAAGTATCAAGCTCATGCAATATGCCTGTGAGCCAGATTTGAATTAAACTTTTGACGTCGTCCCAGACAAGACCACGCTGCGCTCCCGCTATGGAAGTGGGTTTACACGGGGGCGGGCCTGTTGTCCAGCGTCGAGCGTCGTCGGCCGGCGGGAGAGAGCGCGGCGCGCCCGTCCGACGCTGACGCTGACGGATGGACTGCATGCACTGTCCGGCCGGCGTAACGGCGGCGCCGGCCGGACGGCGGCCATCGCACCACTCACGGCTGCAGCCGCCGGCGTCGCGCTCCAGTAAACAGACCACCGACCTGATGCAATCAAGATGCTGGCCGGTGCCCGTCCGTCACGGTCGGGGCGGCGGCCGTTGTCGCGCCCGGGGTCTTCCTGCCTCCGGGCGGCCACTGATGGTCAGGGGTCTCCCTCCCCCCCCCCCCTCAGTGGACCCGCCGTCTTTCCGTGCCTCCGCGCCGACAGCCCGCTGTGGCGGACCTCTGCCGGCGATGAGTGCGGCTCCGGGCGAGCCGTCACCTGTTCCACGGGGCGGCTGTCGGCGGCCCCCGACGGCGCCGGCCGTGCGCGCGGCGCCGCTGGTTGGCCGGCGTCCGTGCTGGCCAGTTACGACAGGCGGCCGCCGGCTGGGGCCGCTCGTCAGGCTCGGGCCCGGTCAGCGAGAACCGCTCCTTCGCAATTACCGGCCCGAAAGCGTGCATCGCTGTCCGCCTTCGCTGTTGTTAGCGCCGGGTGGACACCGAGCCGTGAAGGGGGGGGGGGGGGGGGCGCGCGCTGGGTTGTTTTGTCGACTGCTGTAAAGCTGTGGCTGCAGGCGCCGGGCCTTCGAGATATGTGTAAGGTATGCGAGCGTGCGACCTCAAGGGAGGGTTGGGCACAAACCAGTGCGTCGTTAACAACCCCTTGACCCAATTACGTGCTGGCGTCTTGTGGTTGAGGAAACATGTGCTATTGGTCGTCTGTCCTTGTCAGCTTGGCTTGATTGACCTCCGCTGCCCCTCCCATCTCCGCTCGCTTCCTTTAATCACTGGAATGTAAATAATCCAGATGGCTGTTATATTCATGAGTACAGCCATGCAGTGTTGGTGATGGAAACTGTGCTAATCAAGCAGGCAGTTATTCAACTTGGGTGAGAAGATTCGTGAGCATTGCGCGGGTGGCGCGCATGCCATCACCTTTACACCGACAGTGGTGCCCTCAGAGGGGCTCGCGAGGCCGCCATGATTCCGGCTTGAGGTCGCCCATCGAACTTCTTGGGTATGCCAGGGCACGTCACCAGCCTCTAACCCGTTCGTATCGGCTCTCGTGGTTACACATTCGCTTCCACGAGGGCCCTCTCGTCAGCCTCTCGTCAGCTGTGTGGCGGGCCGCGCGAGCCGCCGCTGTCGACGCTGGCGGCTGGTCGATTAGCGATACCTGTCCCGGCGCGGTCGGATGTGATGGGCGTGTGTGGCGCGGCGTGGCGGCCCGCCGGCTGGCAAACCGACCGGCCCTATTGGCTGGCTCGGTGGCTGTGCGCTGGCCGCCTGCGAGTGTCGATGACCCGGGCTCTCGGCCGTCGGATGCCTGCCGCCCCCCCGCGACGAAGTCAATAGCGCGCCGCCCTGGGACGCGTGCGTCGATAGGTCTGGCCGGTGAGCGAGGCTGGCGGAGCTGCGCTGCGGCCGAGCGTGTTGCCGCGAGCGGGTTAGGCGGCGTGTCCGGCCGGCGTGCGGGCCGCGGTCAATAGCCGAGGCAGGCGCTTCCGCCGCCGCGGCCCCGCTGCCGGGCGGCGGCCGGCCGTCTCCGGCGCCGGGCCGCCAAGGCCGGCTCGGGGGCGGCGGCGGCGGCGCCGCCCCGCGCGCCGAGGCGGCGGCGGCTGCGGAGCCGCCCGACGCGCACGTCTGACGCGCGCTGCGGCCGGCCAGCCGGCCCTGACATGGATACGGCGGCCGATCGGACGAGCGGCATTGTGCGGCGCGCGCCGATCCGTGTTGCAACCGGCGCGCCGAGGAAGCCGCCATCTGTTTGTGCGGCCTTCGCTCGGACCGGCGCCCTGTCGTTACGTATGCTGAGGCGCTGGCCGGCCGGATGCTTCCCGCGTTGGCGCTGCATTGATATGGAAACGGGCCGTCAGCGCACGTCGGGGATCGACGCGCCGGGCTGCGGCGGTGGCCGGGGCTGTTCTACTCACACGCACGCTGCCGGGGCCAACTGGTAGCAGCGCCCGACTGACCGGTGCTGGCGTGTGTCGGAGCGCGTCCGCCGCCGAGCTGCACAACAGCCGGCCGGCAGGGCGGGCGGACACTGTCCGTCGGGTGATCGGCGGGTGGCCGGCGCCGCGCGACGCGGCTGTTTTTGCCGGCTGCCGGACCGCGTGGGAGGCGATCTCGTGCAGCTGCAGCTCACAATGGCGGCTGGCGGTACGCCGGGGATGGTTTGCTCGCGAGCCGTCCGTCTGGAAATGGGCGTAATTCAGCGCGGGCGGCGCCGCCGCGTGTTCTCCAGACCCCGGCGGCGGCGGCGGGGACGTCCGCGCCGCGTCTGACCCGGCGTCGCCGTGCCCGGCAGAGCTGTCGCCGCCGTCGCTGGTCGGCTCGCTGCTGCCATGCGTCATCTGCAACCGCACCTTCCTGCCGGAGGCGCTGGCGCGTCACCAGCACATCTGCCAGAAGACGGCCAACAAGAAGCGCAACGTCTTCAGCTCGTCCAAACAGCGGCTGCAGGGTGGGTGTGGGTAGCGCGCGGGCGCGGGGGCGGCGTGGGCCGCCGGCGGACGCAGGCAAGACCGGTTTACTGCAGCCGAAACACGGTCTGGAAAATGCAATTTCATTGTATTCGGGCTCGCACGGACGAGCTATGTGCATCTAATTTGCCATGAATGGACCTGGCGGTGCAGAAGCCGTGTTTGGGGTGGGGAACCGGTTGGTCTGACAAAAATGACATGTTACCGGACCCCCTTTAAAGTTGTGCGATGCTTGATCATGCACGTGCCTCTCGCTTTCTCGACCTTTGTGGATTTTGCTCCGACGATTTTACGCTTTTCCATTCCGGAAAGACCGTTTCTCACGTCGGCCTAGATTGTGTGCGTTGTTTTCCAGCCCGCGCCGCCGCCGGACGGCGACGGGGAAGCTCATGTATAGCATACCGCCATGTCCTGGCTGCTGCCCGTCTCATTGAAAACCAATTGACATTGTGTGGAGGGTTCGTGGTGGCCCACCGCCATGGGGGGACGGAAATGGGCGTGAGCCGTCCCGCGCCTCCACGGGCGGCTAGAGGCCTCCACTGTTAGCACCCAGACCACAGCTGCGGAGCGGTGGGCCGCCAGAGCCGGGTGAAGGGCTGACCCGTCGCCGGCTTGTCCGCAGGCACGGGCATCGACCCGGACGATGTGCACCGGTCACCGTCGCCGCCGCTGCGCCGCCGCTCGGCCTCGCGCTCCTCGTGGCGAGACAAGCACACGCAGCTGCTGAACACGGTCCGCTCGGCGAGGGGCGCCGCGTCCGCCGCGCCCACCGTCACTGTGCCCGCCGACTACGAACAGTGCCCCTTCTGCGCCAGGTGAGGGCCGCCGCCCGCGACGGCCGGCTGTCCTCGCCGGTCGGCTGGCCTCTCCGGACGCCAGCTGCTCCCGGGTGCACGCGCGCTTCAGGCGCTCTCCGCTCCCGGGTGCACACGCGCTTCAGGCGCTCTCCGCTCCCGGGTGCATGCGCGCACGCGAACGAGACGCTGATTTATTGCCGTCGGGCCTGTGCCAAACGGCGCGCTGCAATCAATTGCACGCAGCCGTAGGCCTGTGCTCGGTTGATGTTTGTACAGTGCAAAACTGGCGTGCTAAATTGGCGTTGCGTAACGGGTTTGAGGTGTTCAGACAGCGGGCGTGAGTAATGTGCGAGTTACAGAACTCGGACATGCTGAACTATTCATCATGCGACGAATGCTAAGCCGGATGGGGTTAGTTGGAAGCGCGCTATAAGAGGCAGCCGACGGCTGCGGTGAGGATGCCATTCTGTGTACGCTCGTGTTCTGTGGAGCCACTGCAGCGCGGTGTGAGAGACAGCTGACGGCTGCGGTGAGGATGCCATCCTGTACACGCTCGTGTTCTGTGAAGCCGATGGCCACTGCAGCGCGGTAGGGGGGCTGACTCAACTCGGCGCCGCCGCCGGGAGCCGTCTGGCGGCGTGTCGACACGGCCGGCGGAGCGGGCAGCGTCGCTTGCCTCGCCGTCTCGCGGCGCCCGGCTGGGCGGACAGCGTCACCCGCCTCGCCGTCTCGCCGTCTCGCCGCGCCCGCCGCTCTGCTGACCCGGCGCCCGCCGCCGCAGGCACTTCGGCCCGAAGGCGGCCGACCGCCACATCAGCTGGTGTAAGGAGCAGAAGTCGCGCATCACGACCAGCGCCTCCACGGCCGTCGCCAAGGGCCGGCTGGACGCCCGCGTCAAGGTGAGGTCGCGGCCGGCCGGCCGGCCCGGTGCCCGTGTCCGCCAGTCCCGCGTACCGGGTCCGTGGACAGGACCCCTGCCCACCCTGCACTCAGGGGCAGCGGTGCTCACATGGCGAGCGCACACCTCGCCTTCGGCTCGCACGCTTGGGGCGTTGTCAGCTGGTGCGTCTGTGTGCGTGTGCGTCAGCTGGTGCGTCTGTGTGCGTGCATGTCAGCCGTGTTTGCTGAGCCGACGTGCCGTGTTGTGCGGGGCTCGTCCGAGCGGCGCTCGCTCCGCTGAAAGAGGTCGCCTGTCGGGGGCGTTACGGTGTCGGCGGTGCTGCTGGTGCTGGGTGCGACGTCGCGCATCCTGCGCTCCTCTGCAGGAGCGCGGCAGTCCGCGGTGCTGCTGGTGCTGGGTGCGACGTCGCGCATCCTGCGCTCCTCTGCAGGAGCGCGGCAGTCCGCGGTGCTGCTGGTGCTGGGTGCGACGTCGCGCATCCTGCACCCCTCTGCAGGAGCGCGGCAGTCCGCGGTGCTGGTGGTGCTGGGTGCGACGTCGCGCACCCTGCGCTCCTCTGCAGGAGCGCGGCGCGGCAGCTTGTTGACGGGCTCCGTCGCGGTGGCCTGTGTGCGACACGTTGCGGGTGCGTTGTGTCGGTGTGTTCTGGTGTGGTGGCGCCGTCTTCTCGTTAACATCCAGCTCCGTGCGAACTCGGTCTTTGTTTACAGTCGCTGAAGATGTTCCTGTCGCCCCTGTCCACGGGTGTTTTATGTGTCTCTCGGCTGTGTGCTGATGTGTGCGCGCTTGTTGTTTTGTTATCGTCTGGTTACTGAGGGGCGCCTGCAACTGTTGACGTTAGAAGAGCGTGGCGGCCGGTGACGCCGGCTGCCGTCTGGCCGCCGGGGGGCTGCGGAACGGCCGACGGACGGCGCGGACGGCCCGCACAGCTGGCCGTTGGCGGGCCATGGCGCCGCCTCCGGGCGCCAGCCAGCTCCGCCCGCGGCGGCTGTTTATGAGGGCGTCCGTCGCCGGCGGCGCCGTCTTTGCCTGGCTGTGTTGTGACGAGTCCGGGAGAAGGGTTGTCCTGTACGCTGGTGTACATGGTCCGTGATGAGCTGTCTGCATGCGAGCTTGCGTTGGTGAGAGTGCGTTTTTCGTTTGGGTGTGTTTTGTTTGGTGAATGTGCGAGTTGTTGAGCGTGGTCATGGCTTCCTGAGTGCTTGGCGTGGGTTGTCGGGCGGCCGCATGGACGCCTGGACCTGTGTGTGGGCCGCGTTCCGTGTGCGGGTGCGCCGCTGTGGTGCTCGGTCCGGCGGGTGGCCCGCGGGGCTCTGACGCCGTCTGGCCGCGGCCCCGGCCCGCCGCAGTACCAGGCGCCGCTGCCGCTCCGGCCGCGGCCCAAGCGCGTCTCTGGCGAGAGGCTCAGCCGCGAGTCGTCGCCGGCCGTCTCGGTAGCCAGCTCGGCGGCTCCTGCTCCGGCTCCGGCCCCGGCTCCGGCTTCGGCCGTCCGCTCGCCCAGCCGGCCCACACGAGACTACGCCAAGTAAGAGCTGACGGCGCGCGTGCCGCTGTTGGCCGAGACTCCCTGCTGGGCGGGCGGTGCGCGCGCGAAATGCCTGGAAGCGGCTGCGGGTTTGGCGGAAACGCCGTCCACATTGCGGTTTATCAGATTCACTTGTCACAGAGTGACGTCAAGTGGCACTTAATCCTATTGTTTGTGCTCATGTCATCGGCAGAAGTGCGCGTCGTTTGTTGTTTGCTGTCGTGTTTTTGCGGCGCGCCCAGTGAGTGCGTTGACGGGGGCGGACGGAACCGGTCTGTGAATGAGATATGGTCCGACGGAACGGACAGGCGCGGACGGAATTAGAGCAGCAGCGTCAGACAGCGCACTGGCACCCACTCGACAGCTGACATATCGACCGGTCTCTCCCCGAACACCGGCGTGGTCTGGTTCGTCGTAGCGCGGGGTATCGCAGCCGCTCGTCCGCTCTGTCAACACACCGGACTGCGACCGTTTATGGCTGGATCTCGGCCCCTGTGACCGCTGAGCTGGGATGGGGTCGAGAGGAGGCACGTCAGGCGGGTGACGCAGCTGGCTCGGGCGAAGGGCTAATATCGGGACGGCGGTGACGGCCTGGTGTCATAAAATGCCGCAGCTGCGACGTCGAGCTAAGCTCGGGTGAGGTGCGCGGCGTTGGCCCCATATAGCGCTCTCGTCTCCGATTATTCCGACCGGTGCCGGCGCGGCTACGCAGAACCCGGGCCGCTGGTCCCGTGCGCGATGAGACCCGGCTGATATCTTGACTGGCGGCTCCGGCCGGCCGAGTCCATCCGCGGCCCGACCCGACCCGATCCGACCCGATCCGATCCGATCCGATCCGATCCGATCCGATCCGACCAGATTCGATCCGATCCGATCCGATCCGATCCGACCAGATTCGATCAGATCAGATCAGATCAGATCAGATCCGACCCCACCCGATCCGATCCGATTCTTCCCGACCCCACCCGATCCGATCCGATCCGATTCTACCCGACCCGACCCGATTGGACCCGATCCGATCCGATCCGATCCGATCCGATTCTACCTGACCCAACCCGACCCGACCCGACCCGACCCGATCTGACCCGACCCGACCCGACCCGACCCGACCCGACCCAACCCGACCCAACCCGGTGACCGGCGGCGATGCCGTGCCGTGGTACAGAGTCTGAGGTAGGGCGGCTGCGGACGCCACTCCGACAGAATTGAGCCGCTGAGCGGGTGGCAGACACGCTGGGAAATGGAGGCGTGCTCGTTACAAAACAAGCGTGGGCGTGTCTGCTCAACGACATTATCGCCACTTGAAGTTCATTAAGGCTGCAGTGATATGTGCGCAGAGTGATCGCCACGGCTTCATTCCGATATGCCCATCGAAATCGCGCTATCTTAAGCCCGCCATCCCATCGACGCATCGACGCCATAAGGCCACTGGTGATTGCATGTTGTTCATATCTACTTTGGCTTAGACGCTGTCGCCTTCCTGGTTTACAAAGCTGCTACTGACTACTGATTGCTGATTTTGAAGTACCGAGAGGCGTCACAACGCTGCGCTGGCGTGTTGGTTCACGGCCCCTGATAAATGTAGCTTGTTAAAATGCCAGATCTGCTCGGGCCGAGGACCCCTGACTCCCTTATGAGCCTTCTGAGGTGGCGGACGTCTGTCAGGCCCTCCATGCTATCTAGGAAGTTGATCATGGACAAAAATGGTTCACCTGACTGAGAACCTGGTAGAATTCCAATAATTTCGCCGTGCGCCGCCTGTCAACAGCGGCTGTAGCGGCGGTGACAGGCGGTGGCCGTGCTGTGCGGGAGCTCTGTCAGCGTCCCATGGGTCTGCAGTGTAATCCCATGACCCCAACAGCGGCTGTAGCGGCGGTGACAGGCGGTGGCCGTGCTGTGCGGGAGCTCTGTCAGCGGTCCCACGGGTCTGCAGTGTAATCCCATGACCGATGGCGACTCGGTGGACATTGTGCAAGCGTCGTGGTGACGTCGTCGTTTTTAATCTGAGGCCAGCGACAATGAACAGCGGACCTGGACATCCAAGGAAGACTCATGGGCACAGGGTCTCTACATTGCCGTGTTCGGGTACCTTACATCGGTTTCTCAGCGCCAGTCACTGAGTTCGGTAGCGATGCCGATGGAAAAGTTGCCCGTTGGAGCTTCGCGACGGTAATTTTTTTGCCGATTGATGCATGAAATCTGTGACAAAACACTGGTGTGTCAACAGATTGATGGGACGTGGCGGCATTTCATTAAGCAAAGATTTAGCTCCTCTGACACATATTGCGGCGTTCATGTTTACCGTGTGTGGGCCGCTTCCTCACTGCTGCCGCGATACTGTGGAGGTGTGTGCCCCGACTGAGCGTGCCCTGTGTGCCGCAGGGAGTACCGAGAGCGGGCCTCGCAGGAGCGCGAGCAGCGGATACAGGAGCGCAAGCGGAGTCCGGCCACAGCCGCCGTCGGCTCCGGATACGGACAGAAGCCGCTGGCGAGCCGCTTCAGTCGGGAAGGTCGGTGAGAGCGCTGCTGCCTGGGCGCCGGGCGGGGTGCAGCCCGTCTGACGGTCGGTCGGTGCACAGCGCGGTCAGGACGCGGTCTGACCTCGACAGGGCCAGCCAGTCTGCGTCTAGTCTGCAGTCCAGTCTGCAGTCCAGTCTTCAGTCTAGTCTGCAGCCAGTCTACAGTCTAGTCTGCAGCCATTCCGCAGTCCAGTATGAAGCCAGTCTGCAGTCCAGTCCGCTGTGCGGGCGTGTCCACAACATGGTCCAGTCGCAACAGTCAGTCCACTTACCAGTCATCAGTCAGGATGCTGTCCGCTCGGCCACCATCCTGCCGAGACTGCAGTGTACCGACAGGCAACAGTCTGTGTTTGAGGCCTGCGGCTGCCCGCTGGCCGCCACCCTGCCGAGACTGCAGTGTGCAGTTCAGCCGACAGGCAACAATCTGCGTTTGAGGCCTGCGGCTGCCCGCTGGCCCGCGTTGTTGACAGTAACTGGACGCTGCGTGGGAGATAGGCTAGCGTGCAGCCCAACACACGGAAACACGGGAGGGAGGCACACAGCATTCCGGCTGAGTGAGGCCGCCACGGCGGCGGGCTGAGGCCATTCCCTGCCACCACTGGCTGGCGTTAAACCGGTTTGGCCCGTCCAGCCGCCGTTTTGCGTGCGAGACAGCAGTACAGGGCTGGCGCGCCGTCATCCTTGATAAGCGTGAATGGCGCAGTTGGCAGTCTTGTGGCCGTGTGGTCAATGACTATCCGCTTTGGCGTAAGAAGATGACACCCGCTGATAAACCACTCGGTATCGTCACCGGAGAGGCCCGCTTCGGGCGCTGGCGGCGTGAAGCTGGCGTGTCTCCCGTCTTCATGTCGTGCAGGTCGTGCTCATACCTCGCGACCGTGTTCTTGGACCGACCTGCGCCGACTATCAGCAGCCTGGAAATAGATATCATCTTCTGCGCCAACTCCTCCGATGTTCTGTCCAACGATCCATGGTCGTCTATCTTATGGCGTACCGCCCGATGATTTGACGTGTCTTCGGACCTGTTGCCCTCTGCCCTGAGCTGATGCGGCTCTGATTTGATGTGTCCGCCGACTGATTGTGCGTCTGTTCAGCTGGTGTGTGTGCCGGTCTGAAGCGTCCGTCGGGCCCGTGTCCTGTGTCCGCTGACCCGGTGTGCTGTGTCCGCTGACCCCATGTGCCGTGTCCGCTGACCTGATGTGCTGTGTCCGTTGACCCGGTGTGCTGTGTCCGCTGACCCCGTGTGCTGTGTCCGCCGACCCCGTGTGCTATGTCCACTGACCTGATGTGCTGTGTCCGCTGACCCGGTGTGCTGTGTCCGCTGACCCGGTGTGCTGTGTCCGCTGACCCCATGTGCCGTGTCCGCTGACCTGATGTGCTGTGTCCGCTGACCCGGTGTGCTGTGTCCGCTGACCCGGTGTGCTGTGTCCGCTGACCCCATGTGCTGTGTCCGCTGACCCGGTGTGCTATGTCCACTGACCTGATGTGCTGTGTCCGCTGACCCCATGTGCTGTGTCCGCTGACCCCGTGTGCTATGTCCGCTGACCCCGTGTGCTATGTCCGCTGGCCTCGTGTGCTGTGTCTGCTGACCCCATATGCTGTGTCCGCTGACCCCATGTGCTGTGTCCGTTGACCCCGTGTGCTATGTCCGCTGACCTGGTGTGCTGTGTCCGCTGATTCCGTGTGCTGTGTCCGCTGACCCCGTGTGTTGTGTCCGCTGACCCGGTGTGCTGTCTGGCTGCAGGCTCGGAGCCGCGCACCATCACCACCAGTCCGCCCAAGGAGTCGTTCCGGCGCACCCAATCATTCCGGACCCGCCCGGGCGCCGCCCGCGGCAGCCTCAAACACCAGAGGACGGCCGGCTCGCTGGGGTGAGTCGGCGGTGGGACATGGTGTACCCAGGGAAGCTGCAGGGACGGGAGTCCAACTCAGCGGCCGGCTGACCTATCTTTACAGAGAACTGGGAATCACGAACGGGCTAGGAAAGGACCATCGGCAAGAATGCGCCGCACCCCCGCCTTCCAAGCAAAAGTCAGAAAGCATTTGGTTTGCCTGTCAATGGTTTGCGTGTCAAATTGTTTGCCGTGCGTGATGTCGGTCGCGACCACCCGGCGTTCGTCGTGGCTGGAGGTGGAAGCTGGCCGCCTCACAGCCGTTCCGTGGTCACCACAGGAAGTCGTCGGCGCAGCAGCATCAGCAGCATCAGCAGCAGCAGCTCCAGCAGCAGCAGCAGCAGCAGCAGCAGCAGCAGCAGCGTGACGAGCCTGACGGTGGCGAGGACGTACAGCCCGACCCCCGTGGTGGCTACCACCGCTCGGTCAGCAGCCCGGCCGAGAGAGCCGCCAGCCCGTGAGTGCTCCTCGCCTACGCAGGCCTGTCGGTCGATGCTGGTCGGTGAAGAGCGCCGCAGAGTGTACCGGACCGGATTAGAGGGACGGCCGCTCTGCCCCCCCCCCCCCCCCCCCCACTCCCGCTCCCGCTCAGAGGGTCCGTCATCAACCGGAGGGCCTCCACTGTCTGTAAGCCCGTGGGTGTCCTTCACCACCCGAGAGCCCTCCTTCCGCAGAATGTTCGGCGACAATGCGCCGTCGGCGCCTTCAGCTCTGCGTTGTGAGCTCTGCCGCATTTGGGGTACTCGCCCTGATAGTGTGATGATGGTGTGATGGTGATGGCTGGTGTCAGTGGGGTACTCGCCCTGATGATATGATGATGGTGTGATGGTGATGGCTGGTGTCAATGGGATACTCGCCCTGATGGTGTGATGGTGGTGTGATGGTAATGGCTGGTGTCAGTGGGTCACTCGACCTGATGGTGTGATGGTGGTGTGATGGCGATGGCTGGTGTCAGTTCGGCGGCATGTTCGCTGTTTCCACGTTATGCACTCGCCAAGCCCTCGCAGGCCCGTTACGCCACATAAATGTCACCCGTGGGCTACATTTCGGGTGCGTGGGCTGGACCGCACAGTTTCGAGCTGGCGCCGATGAGGCGGCTCTGACCCGGGGCTGGTTCCAGGCCGCGGCCGGGCGCCAGCTTCTCTGCGGCCGACCCGGACGCCGGCGAGCGGCCGCCGCCGTCGCCCTCGCCACCCCTGCCGCCCCCGCCGCCCTCCGACGAGGCCTACATCACGCGCTCCCAGCTGGACGAGTACCAGCGACTGAACGATGCCGTCAAGCAGTGAGTGTGGCTGGCCCGCCGGCCGGCCGTTGTCGGCTGGGGAGCCGGGGCTGGGTGGCAGGGACGGCTGGCACTGTGGAGACCGGCGGCGGTCAGTGACGGTCTGGCCCGCGGAGCTGAGCAGGGCTCGGTTTCATAACGCGCAACGAGGAGTCTACGCACTTTTGAATTGCGCCGTATGGCTATGTTTTGAATTACGCCGTACACGTATTGTGGATCGAGAATTAATAAGTTTCTGGAGCTTATTCTATTCACCAATGACTTGCAAAGCAGGCTGTCAAGTGGAATTGGCGTATGACCCTTTACTTGCGTGGTGCGCGTCAAAAGTGCTTAGGCTCATGGCTTCGACTAATAAAACTAGGCCCAGCTACCAGGCGGCGTCCCCGGTGCAGCGTGTGCCCGTGGCGGGCACACGCTCCGCGTCGCCCTCGCGGTCCTGTCCTGACCAGGGCGGCACGCGCCGCCCGCCGCCTGTCCGCAGACCCGAGCCCTCCTCCTCTCCGTCCTCACACGGGCCGGGCGCGCCGCCGTCACTGGACGACCTGGACGCGTCGCTGACGTCCGAGCGCACGTCGGACGGCGAGGGCGCCGACACGTACCGCGTCACCTCGGGCCAAGTGCGGCGGCGGCTGCAGGAGCGCGGCGCGCGCCGCTCCGGTCGCAGCCTGGCCGGCCAGCTGGAGCTGACCGGCACGCCGCTGCGGCCCTCGCCGCGCCGCGAGGCAGGCGCAGCGGCGGCGGTGGCGGCCGGCGACGAGGCCGAGCCGCCGCAGCCGCCGGCGCCTCCCCCGCCGCCGCCGCCGCCGCTGGCCAAGCCGGTCGCCTGGACGGTGGACGAGAAGCCGGCGTCGGCGCGCGCACGGCCGAGCGGCGCCGGCCGCCGGCTGCTGGGGCGCTCCAGGCGACCGGCAGGAGGCGGCGGCAGCGGCGGCCGGCCGCGAGCCGCGCGAGGCGCGCACGCCAGAGGAGGTGTTCGCCGACAGCCTGGAGGACCTGATCACCGTCACCGAGTGTCCGGTGTTCGTCAAGCCGAAGGCGGCGGTGGGCCGGGGCGCCCGGCCTCGTGCCCGCCCGCCGGACGCGCCGACGCCGACCGGCTGCGTCAGCCTGCCGGCGCTGGCGCCGGCGCCGGCGCCGCGGCCCCGGCCGCGGCCGCGGCGCGGTCAGCGGCTCACCCTGCCGCCGCTGGAAGTGCGCTCCGGGCCACCGTCGGGCCGTCGTGAGCGCGACCTGCACCCGCACCCGCACGCGCACCCGCACCCGCCTGCCCCGCACGCCCGCACCTTGCCACCGTAAGTTGGCCACGGCGTCTGACGCCGGCGCCGGCGCCGCCTCTGTTGCAGGGACGGCTACGATCCGTACGCGACGGCCGAGCGCCAGCTGGAGGAGCTGCTGGGCCACGACAGCCCGCCCGCTCCTCCCAAGGCGCCCTCCTGTCCAGCCGGCGCGCTCTCCCTCCCCCGGCGCCGGCCGCTCGGCGTTCGCTAAGATCGAGCGGCCTCGCTCGGCCCTGACCAGCCTGTATCCGCTCTCCGACACCGTGGTCAAGCCCACCCCGCTGCCGGCGACGCCGCCGCCGCCGCCGCGCAAAGATCCCATCGCTGAGGCGATCAGCATCCTTAACGAGTACGCTATTGCGCAGCGCTCGTCGACGGAGGAGGGTCCGCCGTCGCCGCCCTCCTCCGTCGAGTCTAGTCAGACCGTGGTCAATAAGTACGAGTTCATATCGAGCGCAATCGCCTCCTACCAGGAGAACAAGGAGAACCTGCTGCCGGCCGAGCCGGCATCGCCTCCGCTGGAGCCGGCCGGCCCGGACGCCGCCCCCACTAACATGTCTGCCCCCGCTAACCACGACAGCCGCGGCGGCCTGAGCGCGGCCGGCGAGAGCCCCGAGCCGCCGGCCGACGGCGCCGACCCAGCGCCCGTCTGGAGCGAGCCGCCCTGGCGCCCGATCGCCGACAGCCACCGCAGGTGAGTGCGCCTGCGCGCGTGCCAGCTGGCCGACACTGGAGCGCCGCGTGTGCCGGGAGTGGGGGGCTCGGGGGGGGGGGGGGCACGACGTAGTCCGACCTCAGGTCCCTGCGTGCTGCTCTAAGGTCAGGTGAGGACCTGCCGACTGACCGCCCGGCTCAGGCGCTGGGCCGGGTCCCGTCCTGGAGCACGGAGAACACCGCGACGGACAGCACCAGTAGGGCGAGGGCGACGATGGTAAGCCCGCTTCGAATGACCTTGGCGGCCGGGCTTCCGGTGAGACTGCCTTTGTGTGTGCAAACGAGGACCGGAAGGCCGAGTGGTGTCAGATCATATGAAGACGCCGTCCAAGTGATGGCAGTAGAGGTCTCCAATCGCCAGGCATGTGCAGGTGTGTGTGGGGGTGTATGTGTGGTTGACAATTTGTGGCTGACAGCGCGGCCTTGCTAAGCACACCATGAGTCTTCTGGTCCTGGTCAGGTCTGTGTTCGGTTTGGGGAAGGTGGCGCGTCGTGTGGTGACGGGCGGTGATGTGACGGTGACGGGCGGTGATGTGACGGTGACGGGCGGTGATGCGGCGGCATGGTCGGCCTCCGCGCAGCCGAGCAGTGCGGCGGGGAGCCGTCTGGCGACCCTGGCGTTTCGTCGGCCGCCGGGTCACTCGGTCGGCCGTATCGTGCGACTACGACGCGCGCCCCCTGCCGCCAGCTCCAACCGGTCCAGCGTGGAGCGCAACGGCGACAGCGCGGAGCTGCAGTTGGGCGGCCCGCCGCTGGAGGGCGGCGACCGCGACTGCAGCCCGTCCGACAGCCTGTACGAGGCCGAGATGCCCGACTTCGACCTGATCATGGCGCAGGCGCGGCGCGCCTCCGAACGCAAGAGCAGTGTCCTCTCGCCGCGCAAGGCGCGCATGCGCGGCCTCGACATGCACCAGATGATGGGCGTCGAGGTGGCCGACCTGAACCTCAAGAACGGCGGCGGCTCGGCCACGCCGCGCTTCTGCCACGAGTGTGGCAGCCAGTACCCGGTGCAGGCGGCCCGGTTCTGCTGCCAGTGCGGCGCCCAGCGGCTCTGCATCTGAGTGGCGCGCGCTGGAACGCCGGTGGGCGCGGGGGGCGGTCCGCGGCCGCCGGCGCGTTACGTGCACGGAACATTCGCCGCCACGGCGTGTCTGTAGCTACCAGTGCCTTGGCTTCGCGGCGCGCAACCAGTCTGTGAAGAAGTGAACCATGGCCGTCCAGCAGAGATCTTCATATTTACACCAGATGCCAATGTCTGCGAGTGGTGTGCGTCGGGGTGCGTGGACGCGGCGCGGCGGCAGCGACCGGACCGGCCGGCCGGCGTCGCCGCCGCGACGCTCACAACTAACTAGTCTGCGCGGGTGCGTGGCAGCGCGGCGACGGGGGCACTGGCCGCCGGTGTACTAACCGCGTCGCGCGGACGGACGCGTCCGGCGCGGCCCGCCGCCGGAGGGGGCTAGTCAGGCGGGCCGCTCGCGGCTGGTAGGTGTAGGGAGGTGCCGCACTCAGCGGCACGCGGGACCATGCGGCGCCGGCAGCCGGCCGGCAGTAACCCACTGGTGCGCAGTGAACTAGTGTTGTATTCTGTTCTTTCATTACTTAGTAACGCACTAAATATTCCATTCGTGATCTACTTTGCCCAATACACAAATAATAACTGGAAGTGGATATTCTGCCGCGGTTATCGCGTGCTGCGGTTTTGCGGTTGCCCGTCGAGCTGCCCGACCGCGAATCGGACCAGCTGTCTCGCTGACAGTGATGACGGCCCCCCTCCCCCACCCGCTCTCCAGCGATTGGAAGCCAGAACAGGGTGTTCGATTTATTGTATTTTCCGTACATTAAAAAACATACAAGCAAATGAAGCTATCGGCGGCCCAGCCAGTCAAACCGGCAAACAAGCGAATGAGTCGACGTTTTCCGCCGTGTCAGACTCAAACATAAACAAACTCGGAAGACGGCTACGGCAATGGAGCGCGATGGGGGCGATAGAGCAGTCGGGCAAGAGTACATAAACATAACAGAAACTAGTGCTGATCACGTGAGCGTAACCGTTTAACAGGGCAAATAGGGTCCTTCCATGTCGCAACAGCGCAAACCGTGACTTCCACCTTTGGCCGAAAAGGGAGCATGCCGAATCCTGGCCAGTGCTGTTGTCACTGGTCCTACGCCCAAGGTCTGTCCCCTCCATAGCAGATATACCCGGGACTACGAGTTAAATAAAGACCGGTTGTCCAAACAGCTCTCCAGTAGAATCACGACATTGTGCTCGTGTTTCTCGCATCGCGCGACGGCGCAGGAGATGTAGGTCGTTGCCAATCAAATACTGAACCGATTAATGGCGGACAGCGGCACTACCGACCGTTTGACACAATCACTAGTTATAAAAAGTCATCACTTTGTCGGCGGCCGGACCGCACGTGGCCTCCCCCGACGTCCTAGGTGGACTCGTTCACCACGGTCACCAGCTTCTTGCCCTGGATGGTCGTCTTGAACTGTTCGGCCACGGCCAGCTCGGTCTGCGGGGGAGGACAGCCCATCAGCGGGGTGAGCTGCCAGACGTTGGAACGCGCCGATCCTGGCACAGACGCACGCGTCGCCGGCGCGGAGAGGTGGCGCCATGCAGTTTGAAAATGGCAAAACACCGGCAAATCACGACATAATTCCTGATTAATTACTATAAAACACGAACACCTATAGCAGTTTGTCCTACGTACCGTCCAGCTGGACTGCTGACGTTACGCTGTCTACGCGTCAATACGTACCGTCCAGCTGGACTGCTGACGTTACGCTGTCTACACGTCAGTTAACTGTCGGACGGACCCAAGACAACGATTACGAACTTCCGCCTGTTCGTGAATGGCGGAAAATGATGTCTTGTACAACGTGGCAACACAGCCGAACTACGCTGCAGGAGTGTAGTGTAACAGGCCGTGAGTACCCGCATTTATGGGTGCATGCCGACAGGCCGCACTCTAGTGACACTTCCAGCGTCTGCACACCCCAAAGGCAAATGCTCTTGGAGCGCTGTCAACAGCTTCATTTCGCGGAATTCGAACGGCAGCGACGCAAATGGAATATTTCGCACGAGCTTCGACGCTGATCACCTGTTCGAAGCTGTCTCCCGCCCGCTATTGCCACTCTGCTGCCCGCACATTGAGACGACAGCACAGCACACCCCCATAGCGTAGCTCAGGTAGTGCATGCCTCCAGTGAACGTCATCAGAGATTGCCTCCATAGGACACCGTGGATTGGCGCATTTTACTGAACAAACAGCTACACGCCGAAGCCAAGCTGTACGCGTGGCCATCCTCGTGTTTCGCAAGTACCGCGAACACAAGCAGTTAACACGAAACGGACGTGAAACCCGTACCTGGTTGGTCAACCAAGTCCATTAAACACGGCATGTGCCTTGACGCACGAGGATAACCCATCACTCCACAGGCCGTATCCTAAGCACGCAGCGCACCATCGCCAGCTGGCGATCGTGCGCGCCCCGACGCCGACGCCCCGCCGGTGGGCAGCGGGGCACCGCGCGCGCCCGTCACTCACGTAGTCTCCAGTCTCCCTTGGGCACCAGCACGTTCATCTCGGAGGACTTGGACGAGACCAGCACCACGTCCAGCGAGTCCTTGGACAGGTACATCTGCAGGCCGTCCGTCTTGTCGATCGAGATGGTGGGCACCTTCTCGTTCACCTGGCGGGACACGCTGTGCGTTACCGCGATACTGTGGCCAACAGGCGACCACCTGCGCAGTCGACGACGACCGCCAACCCGCCCGTCTCGGACGGCGGCCGGTGCGACCGACCGGGGCCCGCCGCAGCCTGTCCTCGGGGGTGACCGGTGTGACAGGCCGGGGCCCGCCGCAGCCCGTCCTCGGAGGGTGGCCGGTATGACAGGCCGGGCCCAAAGCAGCCCGTCCCCGGAGGGTGGCCGGTGTGACCGGCCGGGGCCCACCGCAGCCCGTCCCCGGAGGGTGGCCGGTGTGACCGGCCGGGGCCCACCGCAGCCCGTCCCCGGAGGGTGGCCGGTGTGACCGGCCGGGGCCCGCCGCAGCCCGTCCCCGGAGGGTGGCCGGTGTGACCGGCCGGGGCCCACCGCAGCCCGTCCCCGGAGGGTGGCCGGTGTGACCGGCCGGGGCCCACCGCAGCCCGTCCTCGGAGGGTGGCCGGTGTGACCGGCCGGGGCCCGCCGCAGCCCGTCCCCGGAGGGTGGCCGGTATGACAGGCCGGGGCCCACCGCAGCCCGTCCCCGGAGGGTGGCCGGTATGACAGGCCGGGGCCCGCCGCAGCCCGTCCCCGGAGGGTGGCCGGTATGACAGGCCGGGGCCCGCCGCAGCCCGTCCTCGGAGGGTGGCCGGTATGACAGGCCGGGGCCCGCCGCAGCCCGTCCTCGGAGGGTGGCCGGTATGACAGGCCGGGGCCCGCCGCAGCCCGTCCTCGGAGGGTAGCCGGTATGACAGGCCGGGGCCCGCCGCAGCCCGTCCCCGGAGGGTGGCCGGTATGACAGGCCGGGGCCCGCCGCAGCCCGTCCTCGGAGGGTGGCCGGTATGACAGGCCGGGGCCCGCCGCAGCCCGTCCTCGGAGGGTGGCCGGTATGACAGGCCGGGGCCCGCCGCAGCCCGTCCCCGGAGGGTGGCCCTGTATGACAGGCCGGGGCCCGCCGCAGCCCGTCCCCGGAGGGTGGCCGGTATGACAGGCCGGGGCCCGCCGCAGCCCGTCCTCGGAGGGTGGCCGGTATGACAGGCCGGGGCCCGCCGCAGCCCGTCCTCGGAGGGTGGCCGGTATGACAGGCCGGGGCCCGCCGCAGCCCGTCCCCGGAGGGTGGCCGGTATGACAGGCCGGGGCCCGCCGCAGCCCGTCCTCGGAGGGTGGCCGGTATGACAGGCCGGGGCCCGCCGCAGCCCGTCCTCGGAGGGTGGCCGGTATGACAGGCCGGGGCCCGCCGCAGCCCGTCCTCGGAGGGTGGCCGGTATGACAGGCCGGGGCCCGCCGCAGCCCGTCCTCGGAGGGTGGCCGGTATGACAGGCCGGGCCCACCGCAGCCCGTCCTCGGAGGGTGGCCGGTATGACAGGCCGGGGCCCGCCGCAGCCCGTCCTCGGAGGGTGGCCGGTATGACAGGCCGGGCCCGCCGCAGCCCGTCCCCGGAGGGTGGCCGGTATGACAGGCCGGGGCCCGCCGCAGCCCGTCCTCGGAGGGCGGCCGGTATGACAGGCCGGGGCCCGCCGCAGCCCGTCCCCGGAGGGTGGCCGGTATGACAGGCCGGGGCCCGCCGCAGCCCGTCCCCGGAGGGTGGCCGGTATGACAGGCCGGGGCCCGCCGCAGCCCGTCCTCGGAGGGTGGCCGGTATGACAGGCCGGGGCCCGCCGCAGCCCGTCCTCGGAGGGTGGCCGGTATGACAGGCCGGGGCCCGCCGCAGCCCGTCCTCGGAGGGTGGCCGGTATGACAGGCCGGGCCCGCCGCAGCCCGTCCTCGGAGGGCGGCCGGTATGACAGGCCGGGGCCCGCCGCAGCCCGTCCTCGGAGGGTGGCCGGTATGACAGGCCGGGGCCCGCCGCAGCCCGTCCTCGGAGGGCGGCCGGTATGACAGGCCGGGGCCCGCCGCAGCCCGTCCTCGGAGGGTGGCCGGTATGACAGGCCGGGGCCCGCCGCAGCCCGTCCTCGGAGGGTGGCCGGTATGACAGGCCGGGGCCCGCCACAGCCCGTCCCCGGAGGGTGGCCGGTATGACAGGCCGGGGCCCGCCGCAGCCCGTCCTCGGAGGGCGGCCGGTATGACAGGCCGGGCCCGCCGCAGCCCGTCCTCGGAGGGCGGCCGGTATGACAGGCCGGGGCCCACCGCAGCCCGTCCTCGGAGGGCGGCCGGTATGACAGGCCGGGGCCCGCCGCAGCCCGTCCTCGGAGGGTGGCCGGTATGACAGGCCGGGCCCGCCGCAGCCCGTCCTCGGAGGGCGGCCGGTATGACAGGCCGGGGCCCGCCGCAGCCCGTCCCCGGAGGGTGGCCGGTATGACAGGCCGGGGCCCGCCGCAGCCCGTCCTCGGAGGGTGGCCGGTATGACAGGCCGGGGCCCGCCGCAGCCCGTCCTCGGAGGGTGGCCGGTATGACAGGCCGGGGCCCGCCGCAGCCCGTCCTCGGAGGGCGGCCGGTATGACAGGCCGGGGCCCGCCGCAGCCCGTCCTCGGAGGGTGGCCGGTATGACAGGCCGGGGCCCGCCGCAGCCCGTCCTCGGGAGGCGAGCATCGGCTCCGCGATGTCGCGGCGTCGGCCACATGAGCGTCGGCGCCCGCTGGCAGTCGGCCGGTCGCGCACGGACAGACACGGCAGCAGTCTGGCCCGCAGGGTGCTCGGTGTTCCCGCGGCCCGCCCAGCGGCCGTCAGCAGGCAGCACCGGCGCGCAGGCGGCTCTGGCCGTCGCGGTGCCGCAGAGTCGGGCCGCGGCCCTCACTCACCTGCATCTGGCAGGAGACGCAGTTGACGAACTCCACCGACGCCACCACTGAGTCGAAGATGATGGCCGACTTCTTGCAAGAGTCCAGGATGATGGAATTAACCTTGCCCTTGACCTGCGCGGTGACAGAGCCAGGTCAGCACGCAGAGTGGAGCGGCATGACTCGGCAGCACGGGAAGGAGGCGGTCGGCATCATATGCAGTAATGCGACATAGCATTACCAACTGGGAGATATCTCTAGACGGACTCTCCCATCAGCATCGATGATGACAGGTTCCCGATATGCACCACGAGGGCAGCATGAGGCAAGACCATGCCTCGCTCGCGCCGCCACAACCTGGCGCGAATCGTCTTACTGGACGAACGGGCGGACGAGCAGCTCCGAACGGTTCAAACCTCCCAGCGCGAGACCACAGGCTTTGGACGTCGGTCCGACGCCCTTCTGCAGAGACCGGCACAGAGTTCCGACCTCAGGTCACGCGGCGCACCTGGATGACGCTGTCGACGCAGTTGAAGGCGTACACCGTCTGGTTCATCTGCGTCTGGTCCAGCTGCAGCTCCAGGTTGTTGTCCTGGTGCTCGATCACCCACTTCTTGCCCTGCAGCTCGCAGACGGGCGCGCGCTTAACGGGCGCCGCCCGGCCGCCGGCTGGCTTGGCGCTGGGCGCCGGCTTCGAGCCCGGCACAGGGCCGCTGGAGCGGAGCTCAGCGTTCTTGTGGGTCTGCATGTTCTTCGTCACGTGCCGCAGGCCTGGCGACAGAGCGAGCGGGCACCAGTCACCAAAGGCCGGCCCCTCTACGCGGCACTGCAGCAGCAGGGCGAGCGAATGCAGACGACAACAGCGAACGCTCCGGCCAATCCGGGCCCAGCTGCGGCGCAAAACCAAACTGCTTCAGGATGCGTTGTCATGGCAACGGAGACGAAATAACAGCAGAGAGGGTCCCCCGATCTGAATTTGGCACAGCAAACTGCACGCACGCTCTATCCCAGCACGATCTCACCAGCACCAATAGACCAAAGGACATCGAGCATCGCAGCACGATCCAGCCGTGGTGGCGGACCCCGCCCGGCCCGTCACCGCTCGCGCTCTCGCCAGCTCTCACCCTGCGTGATGGCCGCCCCGCGGTTGATGTCGTTGAAGAGGGCCGCCCGCTGCTGGTCGGTGGGGTCTGGTCCGGAGGAGGCGAGCGGTTTGGGCGGCGGCGGCGGAGGCGGCGGCGCCGGGCCGGCCGGACCTGTGGCGGGGCACCGGGCGTCAGCACCGCACACTGGACACAGACCGGGTGCTGAACACACAGCGTGGCCGTCGACACTTACAGCATGGCGTGGCACCCTTCACAAAATGTCCGTGCGCGATGGCAACACAAGCTTCACGACAGCAGTGTGTCATTGCACAGGCACCCACAAAAAGGCCCGTTCTGCTGCGCGAGTCATCCATCTTCCCTTGTTCGCCCACTGCCGCCAAGCGCCGGTCGGTCTCTTACCAGCGGTGTAAATCGCGCCCAGCCGGTCCGGTCCGTCCCCCCCCCCCCCCCCCCCGCTGTCGTCAGTGGCGCGTCTCACCCCTGGAGGGCGCGGCGTCGCCGCCGGCCACCAGCGCCGCGTCGCCACCGCGCATGTTCCAGCTGAGCCCGGTGGTGTGGTGCTGCTTGACGTAGGCCTGCAGCGCCGACAAGGCCGCCGACCAGGCGCGCGTGAACGGCTGGTGCGCCTTGTTCTCCTTGATGACACGGTTGCCCCAGAAGAGGCCGGCGTCGTTCATCTCCTTGATGAAGGGCGCCGGCGCCGGCGCCTGGGGCGGCGAGGCAGCTCGTCAGACAGTGCGGCCGCGGTCCGGGTGGCAGCCGCCGGCGGCCGGCCTGTTTGACGGCGCATGTAACGACGGGAGTGATCGGCGCGACCGTATGTCGGGCCCGCTGCCACGGGGAACGCGGCCGGCAGGGTGTCCCGCCCCGCCCCTCCCTCCCCCCCACGCTCGTGAGTCATGCATTCCACCGCTGCACTACGGTGCCCGCCCTGCCAACGGCGAATGCGGGAAACGGCACGGAAAGAGCAAACCGATCTGCGAATCGTCTACGGTATCACGACGAATGTTCTGCGCACATCCTCTCCCCGCACGCAGCCCAATGTCCCCATATACGGCACGCGTGACACCGGGTGCTCGGATGCCCACCAGCACACATGGACCCGCCAGTCACCGGACAGCCACCGGCCGGTAAAAAGCCAGCCAAAACGTGCCGCAACGGAAAGCACGAAATGCCCGGTGCTACTTTCACCAGCCAGACAGCCGCCGGGACAGAGGGAGGGCCACTGACGACCGGTCGGCCCCGCCGTTCGGACCGTCCAGCCCGCTGGAGCTCACCATCGCTAGCGAACTGACCGTGATCACCCAGGAGAGGGCCGCGATCGCCTCCGACACGGCGGACAGGTGGTTGTACTGCGCCGAGCGGCGGTTCTTCTCGCGGAACTGCGTGATCTCCGTGATGACGTCCGCCTGCGGCTTCAGCAGCTTGGCCACGGCCGCGTCGTCCGGCTTCTTGCACTTGGAGGCGAGCAGCACGAAGTCGCGCTGGGCGCTGGCGGAGGGCGAGCGCACGCCTGTCATCTCAGCGGCGCGACAGCTGGGCGCGCGCGCCGGCCGCCGCCGGATGTCAGCTGCGTGGCAAATGGGCCCGCCCAGCCGGCCCGCCCGGCACCGACGACAGCCGATCCAGCCGCGTCGTCCGCCGCACGGCCTATCTGATCCAATTTCGGTTGCGGCACCGGTGCTAAGCGAGTGTGTGATTTGGGTTCGGGCTGACTCAGACGGTGTACAGCCGTGCCATATGACGCTGGAGTAATCTCAGGCAATTTCATACCCGACCACTCATTCCCTGACACGACTTTAAAACCCCGCCGCATTAGACGCCAATAATGGCCATTACCCATAACGGCCGGCACATGCCAATCTCGCCCGTCCCGCGCTGAACACGTGTAGCCTATTGCGCCAGACGGCCGTGCAGTGTATCCTGCCTGCCGCTCCCCACCGAGGGAGCAGGAGGGGGGGGGGGGGGGGCTCACCGAAAGGCGCGCTGCACCTGGTCGGCATGCGTGGACGCGTCACCGCCCACCTTCTTGGCCTCCTTGATGTAGTCGGCCAGCGGGCCCGACAGGAACTCATCGTAGGCGGCCACGAACGGCGCCAACTCCTCGGCTGGAGGGGCGCCACACGGTCAGAGGGCCCAAAAAACGACCACCGCATGATCAGAGGGCCCACAGATCTGACCGCCACACGATCAGAGGGTCCATAGGTTTGACCACCGCACGATCAGTGGGCCCACAGATTTCACAGACGCACGATCAGAGGGCCACAGATCTCACAGCCGCACGATCAGAGGGCCACAGATCTCACAGCCGCACGATCAGAGGGCCACAGATCTCACAGCCGCACGGTCGGCGAGCTGACGGTCTGGCCGAGCACAACGCTGCACAGACAGAGAACACGCAACACCCATCTGGTGGAGGCACACCGGGCAGGCGCAGGACGTGCGATACAGTCGTGTTAACGGTGCGCGGCAGGCCACAGGGATGCGGTACGGCACTGGGTACGGCACTGGGTACGGCACTGGGTACGGCACTGGGCACGGCACTGGGTGCGGTAAGGCACTGGGTACGACACTGGGTGCGGCACTGGGTGCGGTAAGGCACTGGGTACGGCACTGGGTACGGCACTGGGTGCGGCACTGGGTGCGGTAAGGTACTGGGTGCAGGACTGGGTGCGGTAAGGCACTAGGTGAGGCACTGGGTGCGGCACTGCACTGGGTGCGGTACGGTACTGGGTGCGGTACGGCACTGAGTGCGGCACTGCACTGGGTGCGGTACTGCACTGGGTGCGGTACGGCATTGGGTGCGGTACGGCACTGGGTGCGGTACTGCACTGGGTGCGGCACGGCGGCTGGTCATGGAATGCATGTACAGCGCAACAACAGAGAACGCACACCAGCTGACGAATGTGGCTCCTCTCACACTGGGAGGTGACACATCGGCGTCAAGCAGCTAACGTCAGACTGATGACGTCAGAGCGCCGCCGAGGCAAACCAGCGCCAGCTGCCACAACAGGGCAGCGACGAACAGCAAGGCACAACGGCAGCGAAGACTGGAACACATACAGGCAGACCCCTGGCGCCAGAGCGGAGCGACGACACCCCAGCCAGGGTCGAGGGCGAACACCTAACGCAGTCAGCTATCAGGGCGCGCACCAAACGCCCACGGTGCGGAGTGTTGTCGGCACGTGATACCCGCACGTCACACACACACACGCACACGCACACGCACACACACGCACGCACGCAAGCACGCACGCACGCACACACAGGGGCCATGGGTCATGAGCGTCCGCACGGGCACGATACTCCTCCGGTGATCAACGTGACCTTACAGGATCCCTCTCCAGCCATCCCAGCGCAGAGAATGGATGGGAACAAGGTGAAGTGTGTACCACTCCATGCGTCAAATGCATAACGGCGAATGTCACGACACGCACGCCTCCAGGCTGATACTGGCGCAACCCTCCAAGACCTCGGCCAGTGCTGCGTCGTTCCCGCTGACCCAGCCGCCATGTCCCGCGACGGTCGCCCAGGCAGCGGCGCTCCGCCGGTCGGCGCAGCCCTGCTCCTCCTCATGCCGAGCAGTGAGGCCGGCGGCGGACGGCCAGCGCCGCTCCAGGAGCGACTCGCTCGGTCTCTGCGGCGCGGCGCGAGTGGCGCGACCCCCCCCCCCCCCCCTCACCCACCATCATCAGGACTCAGACAACCCTCGGCGCCCCTCCCCCCCCCCCCCTCCCCACCGTCTCAGGACTCAGCCAACCCTACGTGGCGGGGACGGCGGCCGCTGCCGCTGCTGAACGAACCTGCCCCAGAACGTGCCACTGACGCAGGTCGACGGACGTGGAGAGATGAGGAGAACCACCCGCGGCGGAATGCCTGGCTTCGCACGAAGACGGCTCCCCGCATAGGTTTTGATAGCCGCAATAATACGATTTGTTTTCAAAACAGTTGAAATCCTTTCACGTCTTTCACAGCCAATGCATTCTCCCAGAATCCCCACGCGGGTCGGGAGACGGTTTGGCGTGCTGGAGGTGAGATTACCCAACACCGAGGGCTTCACGCCAGATCAGGCCTTTTGTGAATCCTCTAGAGATGTAGGTGGTTTGCTAATGGTTTGCGTTTGTCCAGTACCGCACAGTCCCTCGGACCAGGTTCAGGTACATGCTGCTGTTCACGACGCCCCTTTGGCCCGAGGTGAGGGGGCTTCCGTTGACACCATTCCTAGGCCCTGACAGAGCGAGGAGCACGGATGCCATCTTGCATGACGGCGCACGGCAATCCGACATCTACCGAACACAGCACCGGGTTCACCAGACAATAACAGAACAGAGTCGAGTCGAAGCGTCACAACATGTCCAACATGGACATTCTGTTCATTATCCTCAGGCGGACATGACCCCGAGGTTCTCTACGGAGCATTCGGGATCACGGGATGCGTCTTCCCGGAACATGGGCCGCTCGCTGGGAGTCCGGTGTTACGACATATGCCCCACACCATCAGTTTCCGAGGGAACTAGCATATCATTTGCCGCGCATTTTCGACGGATTATGAGCGAAAACTCGGTCGTTGCAGAACGTTTGGTGCGTGGAAAAAGTTTCAATGATGACTGCTTACTGAACACAACTCGTTTGCAGCCAACATCGCATTCCTTCCGCTCCTTGCGCAATTTAGTTCATTTTTCATCCGGTCAGTTTTGGTCTAACACGCATATCGTACACCTTCAGCACCAGCTTCCCACTCAAGTGCGATCCCATCGACCCAAAACGTTCGGACAAACCTCCCTGATGCGTCTTTCAGCGATTTCGTTGCAGATTGGCTCGTTTTCGGTAACTCCCTTCCGATTCTGGTCCCCGCAGATGTCGCTGGCGGACGCCGTGACATGGACCTGTTTTCAACACTTCCCTCAGGCCCCAGATGCGTCCACAATAACACCCCTGTGCCATTCCGCATGCTTCATGGAAATAGCCCCGTAGTGGACACCATAGTGTTTTTTCTGCTCATTTTCAGGCTCACGTCCTAACTCGCCCGCCCGCCAAACACTGGCTCCAGAGATCACACACAGCCTGTGGCGCCAGACCACTCCGCAACACCACTACCGGTCGAGGAAGACACCAGGGAATAAGCCGCGCTCCAAGTACCCGGACTGAGGGGTGCAACGACCGAGAGCCGCATGGGCAGCGCAGTGCGTGGCTGATGTCAGACCTTGCCGGACCCCGTATGTCAGGCCGAGCGATCGCCGAGCCTCCCGTACACCAACCTGCACCAAAACCTTACCCTTACCAGAACCTGAGACCCGCAAAGGCAGGACAGCGCCGCCAGCCGAATCGATCCATGAGCCCGCGCAATCCTTGCGCATGCGCAGCGCGCATCCTCCTTCTGAGCACCCCGAGCCCAACTAGGCCAAAGCGCACTCCTGCGCAGGCCCAAAGGCCCAAACATAGCGCGCCGCTATCCTTCGCGCCAGCAGTGATGGACGGCAGAGCCGCGCGTCGGCCGATCCGCCGGCGCAGCACGCCGCCGGGTGCACGGTGTGCGCCTTACGGGGGCGCTCATCCGTGCACGTGCGCCGCGCGCGCGCGGCAGGGGGCGGCAGCACACCACGCGTCCGCGCTGTCACATCCATCGGGCGGTGAGAGGGCAGGAACAGGGTCACCGGCGCCGCCGCTGGTCCGGCCTGCCAGACGGAACCAGGATGGGGCTGCTGGGGTCCTCACTGGGATCGCAGCTTGATCAGATTTGACTCTGACACGCACAGAACGCTCGAGGTCGAGCCTCGATTTGCTCAGTGAAACTTGGGGTGGACATCAGCTGGCGCGAATTGGACGTGTCCGTGTCCGTGTCCGTGTGTGTCCGTGTCCGTGTCCGTGAACGTGTCCGTTCGCAGGCGTATGACGTCACGACGGGATCGCTACAGAGGGAACCTCTGGCCTGGCCTTCACCTTCAGCTGAGCTGGCGAGGTGGCGAGCCGCCCGGCCGACGTCTAGCACGCCTGCCCAGAAAAGAGCCGGCACCACCCAACCACCCGCGTGCATCCCGCCGCGGCTGACCGCAGCCCCCTTCCCGCCAGCCCCCGGCCGGGCGGGCGGGCGTCACACCTGCGAGGGCCGGCTCAGCGCCGCGCTGGCGGCGGAACGGCTTCTGCTGGCGGTACACGGCGTACCGGCGCGCCGGCGCCGTGCTGCCGTCGATGGTGCGGGCCCTGCTGCGGACACAGGCGGAGCCCCGTGAGCCCAACGGCCGCGGTCAGTCGGGACAGCCACGGTCAGCCGGCGGCGGACGCGGCCGGTCACGGCCGCCACCGTCAGCCACAGCATCAGGTCGAATCAGCAAACGATCAGCCACGGCCAGGCACGGCTGCTGATCCACCGACGGACGACCACGTCCGACCGCGAGATAACGAGCCGCGACACCGCTGACCCCGAACGGCCGGGCGGGCCGAGCCGGGTCACGGCGGCAGTGAGGACGGCCGAGACTCGGCGACACGGGCCCACACGCGCCGGCGGGAGACGCGGAGAACACCGCTCTCCGCCGCCACCGGGGCCCGCTACTCTAACCTGCGCGCGGCCGCCCGCGAATTGAGCTGCTCGATCTCGTGGCGCAGGCAGAGGCGCAGCATCTCCATGCGCTGGTCGGCGGCGGCGGCGGGCGCGGCCGCGCGCACAGACGACACGTCCGAGCACGAGCAGTCGCGACACTGGCTGCAGCTGCGTCCACTGGCCGGCCGCGACGGTGCCGGCCGCCGCCCGCCGCCGCCGACACTCTCCAGCGAGCTGGCCGAGTACGAGGACTCCGACTCGGACGCCGACTCCGACTCCGACTCGGAGAAGTACACGCTGGAGCTGAAGGCGCGGCCGCGGGAGCGCGATGAGCTGCCGCCCATGGTGCGGGCGCGGATCTCACGCCGGCGGCATCGGTGCACGCGCCGCGGCCGTCGCACGTCGTCTGCGCGCCGCCGGCCACCGTTACGGCGCCGGTGTCCGAAGCCCGACGGCCGAAGTGGAACTCGCCGCGCAGATGGCGCGCACACTCGCGAGGCGACGCCATACGGCCGACGAGGCGACGGCCGGCGGCGGGAGACGACCGCGTCGCGATCGCCGCCGCGGCCG